GTGAGTCTCTCGTCCGAATGAAAACGAAAAATGAGAAAGAAAGAGAGAAAATGAAAATGAGAAGGAATGAAGATGTGTCACAATGACTGATATCTCAAATATGTTCTGGACGATACTATGACAAAAACTGATGGAAAGAATTCTACAGAACTGGAGAATCAGATGAAGACGTTGCCAATATGAAAGTGTGATGCTTGGGATGCCAAATTACCAATTGGATTACGCCCTTTCGCGGGTAATCTTCGTGGCTCCCGTTTAAAATACCTGCACAAAACCTGATAAGAATCCTCTTTTTATTTTCAGATTGTTTGTTTTTGTTTCTGTTCACGAAATCACTATTTGTATTCCCAAGTCCCCAAAATCAAGTTCCAACATTTAAGTCACTCATATAGTCTATTGGAACATCGGAATTGTGAACAAATCAAGCAAATTGTTGAACAAATGAAAAACAACATAAGAAAGAAAACAGTTTACTTTGAAAATTGCTTTCCAATGAGTTCAATGAGTTTTCCTTATGGGTTGTACTCGATTGGGAGTTTCTTGCGACGAACCATACCGTCTCCTTGGAACCACTCGCGGCGGAATTGCTTGGCAGCTCCGTCTGGGGTGTTGGTCCACTCGACGGTGATACGGTCGTTGTTGGTGTCCTGAAAAATAGAAGAGATTCAGAAGAATTTAATTCAAATCCAGAATCCGTTGTCGTCGTATGGAGCATTGAAGACGATCTTGGCGTTTGGTTGGGTTTGGATGTCTCCTGGTGGGACGGATTGAGCCATGGCGATGGTTTGATGGAGTGTAGTACTCGATGGAGATTCTACTGGAGCCGCTTCCCTTTTATATTGATTTCTTATCTCTGCTCCAGATCTTTCCCCTAGATTTCTTAAACTGATAAGAGAAAAAGTTGGAAGTTCACGTAAATACTATAACGGTTCATGAATAATTTCCATCCCCATGGAGATTTTTTTCATGCTCATGCTCGAGAATGTGAGCTATTTAAATAACAGAACTTTTAACAGTAATCCTTGCAAAATATTTATCACCAGAAAACACTCATTTAGCGTAGTATTAAAAATAACACTTTAATTTAACTTCATACTGTTGAAATCCAAAATTTCGTGATTCGTTCGAAACGATGAGCCGAAAAGACGTTTTTCAGAATTCTACACAAATGTTTTTCGAAAAAATTATATAACGGGTGGCGCACAATCACTCGGACTGATAAAAACGGGTGTATCTTCAGTCATAAGAATCTTGGAGGCACGAAAATCGGTAGAAATATAATTTTACGTTTGATTCAATTTTCAAAGCGATTTCTCAAGTCTAGGTATTGTTATGACAACCAATAACTCAGCTTAAAGTTGATCATATAATTTGAAACTTGGCCAGATTACTGATGAATTATTTGAGTTTCTGCACTCCAAGTTTGAGCCCAGTTCAACGCTTTACTTTAAAACATTTTATGCCAGTACAGACTTAAGTCCGAGTAGTTATACTCCACCCTGTACAGTTGATCCAGATTTTCTACTAAGTTTATCCATAAACTATCGATAATTGAGTTTCTTCACGAAAACGCTGACAAATCTAGAAAACATGATTTGCTCTCTACAAATTTCCTTAAGTCATACTTTATCAAATTCCGACAAAATCTTTAGTCTTGGAAACTCAATTTCCATAACATTGTAAGATTCTGATAATATCAGAAATCTTTCCCCCAAGAGTCTGATCATACTAGACTCATGTGTGAATCAAAACTGCGAAAAAGTTGTGCTCAAAAGTCTCAAGTTTTGTCATCAAATCGGCGGACACATAGTGGAGAAAAGAACAAATAATGATGACGGTGATTGATATAAAAATGATAAGAATAACCTCGTATTTCTTATACCTTCCAAATTCATTCGTTAACTGAAAATGGTTCACTTCAAGCTAATCTATTTCCCTTTGAGAGCTCGTGCTGAAATCGCCAGACAACTTTTTGCATATGCCGGAAAGGATTATACTGAGGAAGTTGTTACTTTCGAGCAATGGCCTGCATTGAAAAATAGTATGTTGAATTTATAAAATAAGGATCTTAAGTGAAAGAGGTTACTTGTTTTCTTTTCTGAAACTTCATAGCCCCTTTCCTGAATTTTAAGACTGTGACCTGAAAGGGAAATAAGAAAACTCGATACTTTTGTTTGCCAATGGCATTAACCTTTTTCTAAATAATTGATATTTCCAGGCACTCCATTTGGACAGCTTCCAGTGCTAGAGGTCGATGGAAAACCACTCGGACAATCATATGCCATTGCTCGTTACCTGGCCAAAGAATTCGGACTCGCTGGAAAAACCGATGTGGAAGAAGCTGAAGTCGATGCAATTGCTGATCAATTCAAGGACTATTTAAATGACGTTGTTCCATACATGTCGGCAGTTGCTGGATTTAAACCAGGAGATGTTAACCAACTAAGAACTGATGTTTTCGTTCCAAACTTCAAAAAGCACTTTGCCTTTTTTGAAGGAATCCTCGCATCCAATCCAAGTGGATTCTTCGTTGGGAATTCGTTGACTTGGGTGGATTTGTTGATCTCACAACATGTTCAAGATGTTTTGGAGAAGGATTTAGCCGTTGTTGAGGAATTCAAGAAAGTGCAGGCTCATCGCAAGCTGGTTCAGGGGCTCGACAGAATCAAGCAACACATTGCAAGACGTCCAGAATATCCATTCTAATTGATTTTCAAATTTCTGTCAAATGTTCTAATTACTCTATTAACTTTGATTATATTGGTGAATGAATAAATACTCTTTTTCAACTAGAAGTTATCAGTCCTTTTCCAAAAATATCAAAATTTCATTGGGGCCTAATAAACCTAATAATTAACCGAATATCCTAATGAAGTCTAATTTCCCAGCCAACAAGTTAGGCATCAACGCCTTCTGACTATGAGACTTGAAGACTAATTCAATAAACTTTATATAGCAATCCATTCACAGGTTTCCGTATTATTGCTCTAGAATTAAAAAGCGGAGTTTAATCATCCTCTACCATGCCTAGCAAAAGAAAAAACTATGTTTAAGTGTACATTTCAATATAAAGTCAAGTTCAGAAAAACTTCAGAGGACTCAGTGAACTTCGCAAAACTCAGCTACATCTATTCATATCTGTACACATTTCAGAAAAGTTTCCTTTCTAAATAAACATTTTCTCAGTTGATCAATTTTTGATATCTGTCCCAGGAAGTGAGATATATAGCAGAGTTGCGCGGAAGTAAAATTTTCCAAGTCGGAAGTCGGAAGTCGGAAGTCGGAAGTCGGAAGTGAAAATTCCAAGTCGGAAGTCGGAAGTCGGAAGTGAAATTTATGCCGGAAGTCGGAAGTCGGAAGTCGGAAGTGAAAAAGTACCCGGAAGTCGGAAGTCGGAAGTGAAATTTTCAATTCGGAAGTCGGAAGTGGGGAGTAAAATTTTCAAATCGGAAATACAGATTCCAAGCCGGTTGGCAAATCAACAAATCCTTGCGCATTCAAATTTTATTTCCCCGTTTATACAGATTTCTTCTTTTTTCAATTTTCGAGTTATTTTTTTATGCCGGGAGTTATACTCTGAAAGTCGGAAGTCGGAAGTCGGAAGTCGGAAGTAAAATTTTCAACTCGGAAGTCGGAAGTCGGAAGTCGGAATAGAAAAAATGCCCGGAAGTCGGAAGTCGGAAGTCGGAAGTCGGAATTCCGCGCAACACTGATATATAGGTTCAAAGTTGACGGTTTGAGTGGCGTTTTATTAGTGTTTACGGCATTTTGCAAGAAAAACTAATGTTCAGATGTACTACGGTTTTTGCTATTACTTGTGAAAATCCTGATAAATATCGGTCGCTTCGATCTGTAAATTTATATCTGTCAATTTTAGCGAACATTTATCAGTTCTTGATTCTTGAACTGATCTGCATTATGTCTTCTAGAAAACGTGTGTTTCGATACAATTTCTACGAAAGGAAGAAAGTTTTCTGTGATTTTTTGTGTCCACCAACCACTTTTTATCAGTTACATTTAACCAACAAATGACACATTGTGATGATTGATTTCATTGTTCTCCCATTCTGGTCGTTCAATTATCCCCAGCCTGAGCACAACATATTGTGCTAATCCATGGCTGTTGTGTGTATCTGTCCATTGAAACATCTTGAGATACACAGAGGTACAAAGAGAGTAAAAAGTGACTACAATTTGTGGTTTGTAGTCAACACAACACGCGAGAAGAGCAAACGATGACAAAACTAGAGAGTATTGAGAAGGGTGGAGAGAGAAAACAACTGGAGGGGAATGGGTATAAATAGAGGCGGATGGCCTTCAGTCGACCAACTTCTCGCATCGACCACATCGGTTTTTGTTCGGTTAAAAGGCAACAATGGTCCACTACAAACTCTCGTACTTCCCAATCCGTGGAGCCGGAGAAATCGCTCGTCAGATTCTCGCTTTCGCTGGACAAGAGTTCGAGGATAACAGAATCCCGAAGGAGGAGTGGCCAGCTATCAAGCCAAGTGAGTTTATTTTTAGAGATTCTAGCAGTTTTCAGTGGTTTTGAATTATTCTATAAGATTCTTTTTTATTTTATAAGACACGTCTTCTTGAACCCGAAACATGTAGAATTTTTGTAGGTCAAAGATTTTCAAACTAGTGTTTTGTTTTTGTTTTTTTTTCCACTACTAAATTTGGAGGACGGAAATTTTGTGTTGTTCAATTAAAAGACCTTGATTCATTTGTGACTTACATTCTTGTTTAGTATTAATGAAAGATTGAACTAATTAATTTTCAGCCACCCCATTCGGACAACTTCCACTGCTTGAAGTCGACGGAAAGGTACTTGCCCAATCTCATGCTATCTCTCGCTATCTTGCCCGCCAATTCGGAATCAACGGGAAATGTCCATGGGAGGAGGCTCAGGTCAACTCTGTCGCTGATCAATTCAAGGATTACCTCAATGAGGTTCGTCCATACTTCATGGCCAAGATGGGATTCTCAGATGGAGATGTCGAAGCTCTCGCCAAGGACGTCTTCCTTCCAGGATTCACTAAGCACTACGGATTCTTCGCCAACTTCCTCAAGTCATCCGGATCGGGATACTTGGTCGGAGACTCTTTGACCTGGGTTGACTTGCTCGTTGCTCAGCACACTGCCGACTTGTTGGCTGCCAACGCATCTCTTCTCGACGCCTATCCACAATTCAAGGCTCATCAGGAGAAGGTTCACTCAAATGCCAACATAAAGAAGTGGTTGGAAACTCGCCCAGTCACTCCATTCTAAATAATTTACACAATTTCCAATGGTCTCTCTTTTTTTACTCTTGTGTATTGAAAAAGAATAAATCAATTATTTTGAAAAATGTCATGATTAAGTGGGCGTTGGGTGGAAGAAAGTAGAGGCATTTGAGCAAACTAGGTGCAGGATATTCTGAAGTTCCTAGTTGAATTCCAAAAGTTTGGCTTTCAGTGGTTTGAGATGTCCATTTGATTTTGCAGTTTTAGTTTTGCAACAGTAATCAAAATTAGAGCCACGAGCGCCGACGGAAGGTTCCAAACGCTTGATACCAGATGCTCTTCAAAAGTCCCCACACATTGAAATCCATCAGATTGAAATCCATGAAGTTAGCAGATCACAAATCAATTTTGCTTTTTTTTTATCAATTACTCAAATAACTAGGTTTATTGGATTAAAAAGTGTTCAAAATATTCTTGTTATTATATACTATTGGTCGAGTCAGCCTGAGAATTCGATTATATTTTTCTGTATTCAGAAACACAATTATTATTAGGATGGTCTCAAAAAATGTATTGGTTGAATTTTCACTTTCAAAATTTTCCCAGGCCGGCCATCAAAGAATGACAATAAGTGAAAAACTGATCCCTTGGTCTTTTCGAGAAATTTTCACATATAAATTGAATGAACCAATTTCTGAAAAAAATATTGTGATCTCAATTTCCACTCGATTATTTTTCCGAATCGTTCCGTATGAAAATTCGGAACCAGATCTCTAATTTCAAAATAGTTCTCTCACTTTTCAATATGAATTCTATAACCGAATCTTCAAATAAATAAATCCTTTCAAAAGCATTCTCTCAAAAAATCTTTACAGATTATTTTCCGCAAAAAAAGTTCCAGAAGTATGATTGATTAGGAAATAGTTCTCCCAATCAGCAGTTGGTCAATGATCCTAAAAAGATCAGTCTCCTCCAACACCTCAGAAATTTTTGATTAAATTAGCTGAACGAAAAACCCTATAATTTATGACACAGCTGGAAATTATACGTCTGGAATCTGAATGATGCAGGTGCGTAGGTACTAAACAAATCAGCTGACAAGTATCTCCAGACCCTTATCATTTTCTTTGTTTTCTACAAAAATCTCAAACAATCTTTGTATGATTGCAACGTTAATCTAAGTTTGATCTCACTTCTTAAGAATCCTTGTTTTTCTACATCACTCAATTTTTATCACCTGCATGCAGTTCTAAACTCTCCGGCTCATAGTCAGATGAAATTTCTGCATAGTATGATATTTTTGACGTGAGAATTTAATAATTTTAGGGTCTAACATAGAAAAGAGCATGAAATTTGAATATTGGTACACCACAAAACCTGTGATAGAAGTGTTCCTAGCTTCAAACTTTGGGCCAATTTATCTTGGTTATAGTCAAAGATAAGAAAAAGTTATCAATTGATAAAGTGTTTATCATAATATGATAATTTTTGTACCCTCGGACCGGATTGAACAAAGTTTTTTCTCGGCCGGTGTTTTTTCGACAAATAAAGTTGGTTTGTTTAGAAAAGCACGCATTCTGATAGTTGGTGACCAAATGTTTAGACACTTTGGGTAGCAGCTTTGGCAACCAAAAATGAGAGAACATTAAATTAGTTGGTTGTTGATTTTTTTTAAATTTCCTGCTCCACTTTTGCTCAACTCACTTCCTCTAAATAAAGCCAAGAAATAGTGAACTGATAAAATTTTGGTGATATTATGATGAATATTTTATCAGTTGGAAAACTTTTGATAACTGTTACAGGAATCGAGGTAATTGAGCTCAAAAATGGCGGTTTGGGTAGGCTTCTATCAGAGGAAATAGGTAGATTATTTAATTGACATCCAACATTCTTTAAATTTTTTGACCTGTTCAGGACTAAAAAAGACCTCCGAGAAAACTGACCTGGAAAAAAAAGCTAGATTAAATTTTGCGTTTTTGCCGCTTTCTCTTTCTTTTTTCTTCTCGTTGCTCATTGACATTCTGCTTCAGATTCTTAAACTTGATTACATTTTCTACTATCGGCCACTATTTCTGTGACTCCATATATAATTCTTGAAAGTTTAAATCTCAAAATATTAAATCCACCTGTTTCTATGCTCACACATTCTCTACCATCTTTTTTTATAAATCAAACTGAATGCTCCAGGAACTACCATCCAAAATTCTATCTTTACTCTCGGAACCGGTTCCATTGGTCGAGGGCCAATGGCTCAATATCACATTTGATGTGCCTATTCTAGTGGATATAAAGGCTCCATTGACTCCGACACTTCAATTTATCTACACTTCTGAATTTATTCTGATATTCATCGGGATGTTTTTCATGACATATTTCAATCATTTCGTGAATTCAATTGGAATTATTCATTTGAATCTTCAACGATTATTTGGTTTCTCTACTTTTTTATACATTCTCGGTAGTTTTTCTAGATTTTATATGATTTTAATTCAATTGAAAATCATCAAAGGTGAGTAGTTTTTAGAGTTTGGGTCTGATTTGTTCGAAACTTTTAAATATGTCTATACCTTTATAATATAAGACTACGCGCCAAAGGCGCACCAGCCAGCTGGAGGTGCGGCAAACAGATGGCTGAAAAGACTATAAAAATCTAAATTCGAAAAATTGAATTTTTCATTTCTTGAAAAAAACGAATCCCCGAAAACTACAGTAATCCTCATTCCTCCAATTTAAAAGAGGAAACCTAAAACGACAGTGATCCTCTTCTCATTCTTCAACTTATAATTATTTCAGATCTCAACACCCCATATCTTTTAATTGCTGGTCTTTTACGAATGGAACATTATGGAGTGAGTCTCAGTGCTGTTCTAGTGGTTACTGTAGAACGTGCATTTGCCACCTATTATGTAGTTGATTATGAATCGAAGTCTAGAAACTGGGTGGCTGTATTCTGTATCATGGTCAGTCTGATTTATACTCAGTGTTTTGTTATTCCAATTTGTTTTTGTAAGTTTTTTTCTTCTTCTTTTTTCTGAAATTATTTTTGATGTTTTAGTTAAAGCTTCCTTGTTATACATCATCCTTTTCGCAGCTTTATGGGCGGTTTTTGCAAAACTAGTGAGTTTCAGAATTCCATGAACTCGGCACATCATTATTTGCAGGTTCTGATGGGATTACATTGGTTCAATGTACAAGAATCTAAACGACTTTCTTGGAAAGCAGAGAATTCGCGTAAAAAGAAAAAGGTGAATTACACTTTGGGAAAGAAGTTCCAGGTCGAGGAGAATGTGAAAGTGATAAAAGTAAGATTCTCGAAAGTTTCTGACAATCCTAATATCAATGTTTCAGTTACTAGAAGCAATGAGCTTCATGCTGGTTTTTCTTATTTTCTTTGTTATCGTATTCATAGTTGTTCCAAGAGTTTATCTGGGTACTGAAACATATGCTGGTCAAGTTATGATATCACTTTTCGATATAAATTTGGCTCTTGGTGCAATTCTTATACCGTTCATCTGCATCTGGCAGTTGAGAAAAACCAGAGAACTGCCATTTACGGTTAGATTGTCTCGAAGCTTTCATTGAATAAATAGTTCTTTTTTTCAGCAGAAAATATATTGTTTGAAAAAAAGACGTGATGAGCGCCAGGTGAATCCGATTACGGTATTCGAAGATGTAACTAAATCGTACTTTGAACAGTTCCAAACATCTTGGAAGTGATTTGTTTTTAATAATGAAGTGATAATGATGTTGTTTGACAGTATTTTGTTTCGGGTCTGTATAGAAAAACAGAACAAGGTGCAAAGTCTTTTTCAAGTATTTAAAGAGACGTTTTTGATTCCGAGGGTGTCTCCGGGAAATTAAGTTGCTTCTTCTATTTCTCCATATTTTTCGATAAAAACACATTTTTATGTCACCAATAGACCATACTTGAAGAAGCTGATTCTTTCGAAAAAATTTTGAAGACCTTTCTATTTTTTTTGTCTAGGTTCTATTTTTTTTATCTTTGTTGGTAATTGATTCGGCCCGACCCGTTGGAAGAATGGGCAAAAAAATATAACGGTGAGATACTGTAGTTTTAAAGGCGCATTCACCAAGAAATACACAGACGTCACCGCGAAATCTTGTTCGTACAAAAGGTTTTTCTCGAATTCGATTGAAGAAAAATATGTGAATTGTGAAGTTTTGTAGTCGTTAATCGTTTTCTATGATTCGCACAGCCGTATTTAATAGTTTGTAGCTATCAGAACAGTGATAAAAAATAGGCCGTCTCTAATTTTCTGTGACGAATAGAGAGAAAGTATAAAAAGATAAATTCATCTCTATGATTTTTCGTTGCTTCTTTTTTCGTTGAACAGCCGGCAGTTGCTGCATTTCTACACGTACTTCTGTTGCTCTAAATCTCTGAACCTCTGTTTGTATGTTTGTGTGTGTGGGTGCTCTCGCTCCGCGCCAACAACAGCAGCCGCCGCCATCGCTGAATTTCATTTCGTCACATTTCTTTTCTTTTCTATGTGAAAAGTATGAAAAGTATTTCTCTCACTAGTCAGCCCACCCACCAAAAAACAAATGAATTCTTCATGTTCTTAACGTGTCTGGCAAACAGATGGGAGGCGAACACCTATAAATTTTACCGTTTTACTTTCAATAACGGCTAAAGTTGATTTTTGACTCAAATTTGTGTTTACTGTCGATGAACATCGACCAACCACTTGACTTTTCTGATAAGATACGAAACGATCAGTTTCTGTTTACTATTTTCTTTTCTTCCCATCTCTTTTCTTTCTCATTTCATCGTTTTTGTTTCTGACATCGAATTTATTTCTCTTGCAGACTCGATATGGGCATCGCCGTTGTTGAAACTCCAACAAAACCGTTCGCCGGCCAAAAACCCGGAACCTCTGGACTCCGTAAGCGTGTTCCTGAGTTTCAACAGTTGAACTACACTGAAAACTTCGTGCAAGCCATTTTGGATGCTGGTCTAGGATCAAAGAAGAAAGGAGCGCAGTTGGTTGTTGGTGGAGATGGACGGTTCCTTTCGATGGAAGCAACCAACGTGATTATTAAAGTTTCCGCTGCCAATGGAGTGAGTATTTCCATTTTCTTGTGTTGTATCTTCACCATGCGTGTTTCAGCTCTCGCGCCTCATCGTTGGACAGAATGGTTTCCTGTCTACGCCAGCCCTCTCCAATCTGATCCGCAAAGGTCATGAAGGACGTGTTGTCGATGGAGGTATTATTCTCACTGCTAGTCACAATCCAGGAGGTCCAAAGGGAGATTTCGGAATCAAGTTCAACTGTGAAAACGGAGGTCCTGCTCCGGATCATGTTACCGATTCCATCTATCAAATAACGACAAAAATTGACAAGTATCTGATTGCCAAGGATTTGGAATGCGATTTTACACAAGTTGGACGGTAATAAACAAATCTAAATCAAAGTTTCCAATAAGGTTTTTTCAGATACGAATATGACATTGATGGTGTAGGTCACTTCACAGTGGACGTCATTGATTCAGTTACCGCATACGTTGATTTGATGAAAGACATTTTCGACTTCCCTAAAATCAAATCCCTTCTTGCTGGAGAATTGACTGGACACAAATTCCGTGTTCTCCTTGATTCGATGCACGGAGCCACGGGTCCTTACATCTCAACAATCCTTGTTGACTGTCTCGGTGCTGATGCTAACAATCTTCTCCGGACTGTTCCGAAACCAGATTTCGCTGGAGGTCATCCAGATCCAAATCTCACCTACGCCAAGACTCTTGTGGAACGTCTTCACACTGGAGAACACGATTTGGGAGCTGCTTTCGATGGAGATGGTGACAGAAATATGATTCTTGGAAAGAACGGATTCTTTGTGTGTCCTAGTGATTCACTGGCAGTAATTGCTGACAATATAGATTGCATTCCATACTTCAGAACTCGTAAAGTCAATGGATTTGCTCGTTCAATGCCAACTGCTGGAGCTGTTGATTTGGTTGCCAAATCAAAGGGACTTCAAGTTTACGAGACGCCAACTGGATGGAAATATTTTGGAAACTTGATGGATGCTGGCCGCATCGCTATTTGTGGAGAAGAATCTTTCGGAACAGGATCTGATCATATTCGTGAGAAGGATGGTGTCTGGGCATTGCTCGCCTGGCTTCAAATTCTTGCTGAACGCAAAGAGACAGTAGAGGAAATTGTTTCGAAACACTGGCAAAAGTACGGAAGAAATGTTTTCACTCGTTATGACTATGAGAATGTGGATGCCGCTGGAGCTAACTTGTTGATGACTTTCCTCGAAGCTCAACTCCCTGCGTTCGTTGGAAGAGATTTCTCTGCAAACGGTGTCACTTATAAGGTTTGTGTATCTTATTTCTAACTCTTCGGAAGCCTTTGTTTCATTCCAGGTGGCAGTTGCTGACAACTTCCAGTACACTGATCCAGTCGATGGGTCTGTTGCTACCAAACAAGGACTCCGAATCGTTTTCGAAGATGGCTCTCGCTTAGTATTCCGTCTCTCTGGAACGGGATCCGCTGGCGCTACCATCCGTCTCTATGTCGATTCGTACATTCCATCCAATGACTCATCTCGTCTTCTTCTCCCAGCTCATGAACTTCTCAAGCCTTTGGTCCTGATTGCTCTTGATGTTTGTAAAATGGAACAGTTCACAAACCGTAAGGCTCCAACTGTTATTACCTAATTGTAGAGTTTGTATGATGATTTTTTATATTGCACCCATGTTTCTAAATAATTATGTGTAGTTTTTCTCGGTTCATATTGTTATTGAGGTGAGAATTGAATAAAAAAGTTTTGAAACAGATGTTTGTGCCTATTTTTGTGACAAACAGAGACGCAGACATGAATGCGAGGAGTATAAAAAGAGGTGGATGTAGGGTTTTCCATCAGTTTGCTGCTATGGTCTCTTACAAACTTATTTATTTTCCAACTCGTGGGAATGGAGAGATTGCTCGCCAGGTTTTCAAATATGCTGGACAATCATTTATAGATGAACGGATTCCAAAGGAAGATTGGCCGTCTATGAAAAACGGTGAGTAGTCAATTATTATTCTGGTATGAAAATTGAAGCTGTGGAAGAAAAACGCCGGTGGCCGGAGGTCCCACAACGACAACTACCGTAACCTAATTTTTCAGGACTTATTATCTCGATTTTTACTGATTTTTGTATTTTTTTTTCTGTTATTTTCCTCCAGAAAAGCCGCAAAGTAAAAATTACTGACATTTGAGTTGATTGAAAACGCAGAAAAATCGAGAAAATGAATCTCGAAAATTAATTTATTTTCAGGTTACGGTAGTTGTTGTTATAGGACTTTCGGCCACAACCACCAGCGTTTCTCTTCCACTGCTCCGATTTTTTGTACACCAATAAAACTGTTACTGTATTTCCAGTAATCGAAGCTGGGATAGGTATCACAAAATAGTCAACTGATAAAATATTACTGATATTATAATAAATTTTTCATCAGTTGACATGGTTTTGATATTTTCCACAGAAATCGAGATAATTAAGCTCAAAGTTACAAGAAAGGGAACCCTACTATTACAGGTGTTACGGTTTTGTTTTGTACAGTAACCCTGGGATCTTCAAAACTTTCCGTAAAAAACGATCTTCAGATACTCCATTCGGTCAACTTCCTGTTTTGGAAGTTGATGGAAAACAGTTAGCTCAATCAATCGCAATCGTTCGGTATCTATCGAAACAATTCGGAATATCAGGGCAATCGTCTTGGGAAGAGGCTCAAGTCGATTCACTTTCTGACCAATTCAAAGATTATCGTCTCGAGGCTCGTCCATTTTTCCGAGTGAAAATGGGATTCGGAGAAGGAGACGCCGACAAACTTCATAAGGATGTATTCGTTCCAGCATTCAAAAAAATGTATTCAATCTTCACGAAATATTTGAAAGAATCTGGAAATGGATATCTAGTTGGTGGCTCACTGACATGGATTGATTTGGCTGTGGCACAACATTCAGCAGATCTTCTTGACGCGGATGGAACAGTCCTTGATGAGTTTCCGGAGATGAAAGACCATCAGAAAAGAATTCATGATATTCCAAACATCAAACAGTGGATAGCAGAAAGACCAGTGACTTCAAGATAATTGAAATTCTAATTGGAATTTATTTTCATGTGATTAAAACTTTATTATTGTATTCAAAGTGTCTAACAATAAGTGAACAAAGAATATGTCAATTTTTCCATAAAAGTTGATCGGGGGAAGGTTTTTCAAATGCAATGTAAAATATTTGGTGAAAAAAGTGAAACTCAATCAAGCGATATATTTCCAGTCATTAGAGACGCTTTTGAAAAGTATTATTGGCTGAAAATAAATGTTAACTTGAGTATCGAGGGTGATTTTCTGAATTGACTGGCGAATTAAAACATGAAATCTAGCGAGTGTGAGTGAAAAATAATCGGAATGTGGTCGAGTTGGTTTAAATTTCGGTTATGCTTTAACAGAAGACGTGGATTCTGGAGATGTGGATCCGTTGGACGATTCATCGCCTGGGATGATTTCTGTTTTCTTTGCATCAAGAAGATCTTTTGTAGGAAGTGATTGTTGTCCGCGGTTTGCAGGGTTTCGAACTGAAACATACATTTTTACTGACTAGATGTTTCGCAAGTTTTTGTTGATTTTCACTTCACAGGTAAGGCGCGACTGCCAAAAGGCGTACAAACGACGAATGAGGAAAATATTGTGACAAAAAGTATGAAAGAATAACTAGTAATGGAACCATAATGAAGAAAAATGTGTCATTTTTTTGTTTTATGATTTTTGAAGGGTTTTTTACGGAGATACATACTTTTTTCATTATGGTCCAATTACTAATTATTGTCTTTCACCGTTTGTACGCTTTTTGGCAGTCCCGCTTCACCTGTGTTCTAGGATTTAGCAATTTAAATAATCTAAAACTTACTGTTTTTGGCAAACCAATATCCACCAATCGGACATGGTTCCCATTTCATCCGAAGATATGTCATGAACCATTCCCATGCTGCGTCATCCATTTCTGCAATTATTTGCTCTCTATCATGATGAGTTCCAGTTTTTGTACGACGTTCCAGCTCTGCATCCAACAACTTATTCCACATAATTGGGACCTAGAATAATGATTCGATGAAATCAAACATTTTGATTAAACACTTACATCCTTTAAAAGAATTTTTTTGGCAGTTCGGAATGGAAATGTGAATTGGTTTGCCATCAATTTAACTCTGCAGTAAATGTGACTGTTGTGTCCAGAATGTTGATCCTGTCCGAGTATTACTGTAAGATACTTTGACATGCATCGTCGATTTCCATTTGCCAGTGGATCGTCCAGATATTCTTTGCAAACCTGGAAAAAATTTAAATAAGTATATATCTGAATCAGATCTGGTTTTATCTATTAAAAAATTCCGATTCGTTCAACTTCTGATTTCGTCTTACCCGAACAAATTTTTCGAGAGCTTCATTCTTGAGCAAGAATATGATGGCAGGTTCGGGGTGTCCGGCACTTTTATCCTTGATCGAAATACTTTCAATTTGAGTTAATGGGATTCCGATGTTCAATGGCTCTTCTTCTGTTACGAGACGAATACGGAAACTGATCTTTTTCTAAAATTTCATGTATTTTAAACCCATTTCTAAACCAAATCAAACCTTAGAATTGATGCGGAAGGTCATCATGGATCCTTCTATAAGAGGAAGCGGTGTGTCTCCCAAGAGAATCTGCTTTGGGAAGAACTAAAAAAGATGAATTCGTTGAAAAACTTCATAATTATATGCTCACATAGTTTCTGTATGTCGGGTCTAAACTCCGACATTGCTCTGTGATGAAAAATCGAATTCTCTCATGACGCTGCATCCTGAATCTTAATTTCAGTTAGATATATATTCTAATTTAAATGAGATTTCAAATGCTCTTGAGGAATATATTTCTGTATATAAATTAGGAAGCGAAAAGTAGAGTCCAAAGTAAGCTCTCGCGCGCTATCTTGCACTATGTGGTAAAAATCAATTGTTTGTCAGTGGAGCGCAGTTTGATCTTTTCTTCTGCACCAAGCGCGGGTTGCACGTGCTTTATTGAGAAAAGAGGAAGGTAACATTTGTATGATATTTATTAACGGAACGGAGACATTTTGAACCCAGTTTTCTGTGATTATAATAGGACGATCTAATAGGAAAAAAAAACTACTAACTTTGGGGAACAATTAAATTTCAATCATATTTGGGAAAGAGGATTCTAGGATACATCTGAATATTAAAGACAAATCATGAAAGCTCTCGTCGAATAGTTGAATCACAAGAGAGAAAAGACGAGAAGTAAAGGAGATATCGGGTTGGGAATTCGTGATGCGGAAAAGAACGCGTAAAGCGACATAATTTATTGTGGTGGAGCTGATGGTGGTGGTGGTCCTCCTTGACCTCCTTCTCCTCCTGGTCCAAACTGTCGCCGGAGATTTTCGATAAGTTCTGGATTCGTTTCTTGCATACGAGCAGCCATTTGTTGACCAGCAGCCATCAGGTCAGCAATGGATCCTTGTCCGGACATCATATTTTGGAACTGAAATGCAATAATTAGTTTGATTAATTATAGTTGTATTTTCTTTTTATAAATTTACGGAAACTTTTTTGGAATAAGTCAAAGTAGAAGTCAAAGTGTACAGAAAAAAACCTACCATTCCAGAGAGTCCTGGGTCATTCATCAACTGGGAAGCAGCTTCCATGAGCCCTGGCTCGCTCAGAAGTGCATTCATGTTTGGCATTCCGGGCATTCCTCCCATACCACCTCCTCCCATAGCTCCGAAGAGTCCAGCCAACGGGTTGGCTCCCTGAGCTGGGCGTGCGCTTTCCACCTCCTTCAGTTTGTCTTCGGCGATTTTAAGGTTGTTCTTGTAGCTCTCTTGGTTTGGTTCGAGTTCCAATGCCTTCTTATACGCTTCAGCAGCATGCTCGTAACGGTTTTGGCAGGAATAGGCAAGTCCCATTCTTCCCCACGCCTTCGAATAAGATGCATCAAGAGCGAGTGCAGTTCGACAATCTTGGATAGCTAGGTCATACTGTTCAAGACGGCAGTAAGCAGCAGCTCGGTTACAGAAGTAGACTGGATCTCTGTTAAGCTTAATAGCTGCATTGTATTTTTGAACAGCGGCGTCAAATTGCGAGGCTTTCATCAAATCATTTCCTTCCTCCTTTAATTTGTTGGCTTGTGCAATATCAGCTTCGCTCGGAGTTGGCATAGAGTTTTCTCCCTCCGGAACTCCTTCCGCACTCTTGAACAGTTCAAGGATTGGACGGGATGGTTGGAAAGCATAAGAGGCATCAGTCAGAGCAAACGAATGTTCAAGGCATTGAATAGCAACTGAAAAAAATTGGTGTTGTAGGAACAGAAAGCTTAATTTAAAGTTCGATTGTGAACAGAAATGCTTACCTTCAAGAGCCTCTGCCTGTTCTGGAGTAGCTTGATTGTGCGAAACTTTCTGGCGGATAAACTGGAGGAAAGACACAACCAAGTTCTGTTCGTCTGTGGTCACAATTGGGGCTGCAATTGGTACATCCATGCCTGGGGCTTTGGTCTCCTCAGTCATAGTCTTCTGAAAATGATGAAATTCGAATAACGCCGTTTTGTTGAGAATAGTTTGAAGGAACACTACCAAAGAAATAGTATTTAGTGAGAAAAAAAAAACTTTACAAGGACTTTCCAAAAGTTTTGAAAGTGAAATACGTTTCGAAATATTCTCGAAAAGTTGAGAGGCAAGCAGAGAAAACTTAAATAGTTAAAGGCGCACATCGTGCGTCACCAGAACGGGTCTCGCCGCGAGAGCTCAGACGCCATACCGAGAAGAGGCGCAGAGAACCGCTGTAGAAACTGAAGTGAGAGTTGCTGTGAGAACGAGAGAGTGCATAACACAGAAGAGAGAAATAAGAGAAGAGAAGAGAAGCCGACTGGTGGCCCAGGTTGCTTTCCAAAAGCCACTCATTTCCTCTGTAGGCATCTTTCAACTCGAAATATAAGTAGAAACCAGACGATTGGACTAGCATTTGATTACTCTAAATATTTTCCCCTCTTTTATTTTCTCCAAGAAAATAAAAAGCAGTTGATCATTTTTTCATATAATTTTTTGTATTTATTCAAGGCATTAAAATACCTAGCTATTCATTCTGTTCTGTTTAATTTATAGTTTTATATGATTGAATTTTTTTAAATTTTCTGAATTATTATTTGACTGCTCTAAAAATACTAAGATTATTTGATCCAATGAAACCTACTTTGGGTTTTCGAGTGTTTCACTTATAGGCAGGCTCTTCACTTGTCTGAAAAAACTTCACCAAATGTTCTTTTCGATCTCTTCCACAATCTTCGCTATCGTTCACAATTCTCATTCCCATACCTCTTCCATCCTTATAATTTTTATAAACATTCAACTTCTTTCAGTAATTATACTTCTTGCCTTATCACCGTTTTTCACCATCAAAAATCTAAAGCGATGTCACAATCGGATGAGCAGCAGAAGGATATTCCTTCTTCATCAAACACCGGAAGCAGTGAAACGAATGGAGCTGGTAATGGTCCACAAGTTCAAGTTCGTCGACTTTTCGACAACACTTCCGATGAATCGGATGTATCATTAGATAATGATGGTGAGTCTGAATATTATGAATAGAATTTCTTAAAACATGAAGAACTCTAGATAAAACTGGAGCTGAAACTGATGGATCATCGTCCAGTCGAGGATGTCTGAAAAGTAATCGATCCCGCAAAGACTATGCTGGAAGTTCTAGTACAAGAGCTGTTCGTGCTCCTCAACAGGTAATTTTTGAAAATAGAGTCTCGGGCATTTTGAAAAATAACATACATGATGATAGTCTAATTTAGTTTTTGAAAATGTTAAGGATAATCCCCGATCGATTGTTTTTATTGTTCAGGATAGTTCAAAAATTAGTCAGATATTCGATTGTCCATGCTTTTAGCTTGCAAAAGAACTTCAAATATTTTATATTGCTCATTTTCCAGGTTTCGTGGTCGTTTGGTGCCAAACCAGCAACTCCTCACTCTCAACCACCAACTGGACTCAAAAAAGGTATTTCCGTTTTTTTTTGTTATTCCCCGTCGTCGCTGACGTAAATTGGCTCTGGCAAGCAATTGACGAAAAAACATTGTTTCCGGCTCATTCACCTTTAGAAAATGACGACGCCGTCTTTAAGAATGAGGTTCTTGTTGTGCTAAACATCCACATATGTTTTAAATGTTTAAACCAATACATATCCGTTATTGACTCCAGATTTTCTCAATCTTTGTCTCTCTTAGAGATCCAGTTATTACAAAAATGCAATATGTGCTGCTTTCAAAAATAGAATCAGCACTGATCGACTAATCCAAGCACCTGCCTTGGAGTCTTATTTTAGAAACTCAATCACTCAATCACTAGGAAAAAACTAATCTCGTATAATTCTATGTTATTTTCTTCTCAACTCTCTTCTCAATGAGAGTGACATTTTCGGATGAAGGTGAGTAAGTCTGCAAAAATCCTTTTCAATTTTATAGAAAAGAATTCTGGATTATTGAAGAGTCATCGAGATCATCTGAGCTGTAAATCTATAAGCTGTCATTTCGATTTTTTCTGCGCTGTTCCAAGTTTGCTGTCAAAATTTTCGAAGTCCAATCCGAAAGATGACCTAATTGTTTTGATGCGAAAAAGCAAAAGTCAATTGAAAAAATTGAACAGGTGGTCATAGAGTTGCGAAACGACAGACACGATTTGTTGCCATCTGTCAGGTTTCTTTTTTCTCAAAAAAGTTTTTCCGAATCTTCTTTTCAGTTATCATTTACGTCATTCTAACACCTGAGGACAGGGGCATAATGTTGAAAAATGTTAGGCCTTCTGAACTAGACACTTTTGTTATTTTTCAAAGGCTTCTAGAAGATTGAAGGATTAATCCTTTCATGAGGTTTCCCCAATTTTCTATTTTTGCAGATGCTTGATTCTCCATTCTGTAGAGATCCTATAAAATGCATGTACATTCTTCTGCAAAATGACTTTCAAGAGAATACATATCCAGAAGTATTTCAAAGATGAAACCCAACAACATCTATTTCTTCTATCCTTCTCCACATTTACATTGTTTGAGTTTCCTCTTCTCATCAGTTCGGGTGTCCATTTGTCCACCAGTCCGTCCGTCCGTCTCCGGCTAATCTTCTTCTGCTTTTTCGCATTCTTTTTCTGCGTTTTCTCTCCAATGTTTTCTTCTTCCAATATTTCTTAGCCCAAATTCTTTGCTCCTAGTTCAACCAGCGAATTCGAACAATTTCCTTCTTATTTTTCCAAAAACTTCTTGTGTTTTTCTTCAGCCTGGTACAGTACTGAATTTCTTGTAAACAGGCTGACCCAAAACTATCGTCATATTCAATCTATTTCTTCTTCTCTCCAGTCATCTACCTCCATGTATGTCTTCTTTGTAAAGTCTTGCTGTCACATCACTGCGACCTTTTCTCGTTTGGTAGAGAGATCGCGATTTCGCTACTTCTATTCATTTAGGTTTACACAGGTTGTGTAGCACACGGTTGTAGTTCGAAATGTTGATCTAATCTCTGATTGAAATGAACAGTTGGACATCATTTTCTGAGCTAATAAGCTCTTGATGGTATTGCAAACGCACGCCACGCATCATTCAAAAGTTTAAATCAGGTTCGCAGAGACTCTACATTTGTATCTTGTAACTCTTAACCCTGAATTACAAGTCTACCTAATCGATTGAATTCCACAGTCATCCCTGAGTTAAAAGTCGAAAAGAGCTGTTTATAAGCATGTTCTGTTTGTTCACCCTCTCACAAGTTTCCTATCTCTATTGTAGCACTTCTAGCTTTGAACGAACAGAACTGGCACACAATAACACATGTAGGCATAAAATCAACAAAAATGATTCACTTCAGCAGTTTTATCAATGTTTGTATGCTTTTTGCATAGCGAAGATTGTGACAAGGGAGGTCGTTTTAGAAAGGCTTTCAGAATTTTCTTATTTTTTGACAGGGGTTAGTTGACACGCTCAAAAAGCCCCTGTCAAAATCTGTATATGCACTTTTTCCAAAAATGCTGAAAATTTTTGTCTGAAAGTTTCCAATTTCTTAACCATTGTAAACCTCACTTTTCTCCGTCATTTCGCCTCCCGGGAACTTCCGGAAACACCGTTGACATGTACACACTTACGAACTGTTGTTCCCAGCGGTGAGGTGACCGGGTGGTTGTGGGCGCGTGTTATAATCTGAAGGTCTGCGGTTCGATTCCCTCTTTTGAAATTATCTTTTGCTTTTTTTTTTTAATCAAATTCCTAGACATCTATTCAGGGCTCAAAACATTTTTTTGGCCAGAGTTTTTGAGTTTTTGCCGATTTTCAAACTTTGAGAAGCAGAAAATATCAATTTTTTCAAAGTTAGTTTTTTTTCGAAAATTTCCAATTTTTTGGTGGTCAACTCCATGCTAGATTTTCGATGAAAATTTTTTCGTTCGAAATTTCTCAATTTTCGTATGGAATGTATTTTTGTGAGTTCTTATTAATTTCTAATGATCTTCTAGCCGCTTTTCGACTCAAAATATGTCGAAAAACAGTGAATCAAATAGTCCAACATCGAAAGAAAGCAATGAATTATAAGTGATTTTGCATTGTTCTCGGTCAAAAAAAGGGTGGATGAATCATGAGAAACTAATAAGAATTTACAAAAATACATTCCATACAAAAATTGAGAAATTTCGAACGAAAAAATTTTCATCGAAAATCTAGCATGGAGTTGACCACCAAAAACTTGGAAATTTTCGAAAAAAATTAACTTTGAAAAAATTGATATTTTCTGCTTCTCAAAGTTTGAAAATCGGCAAAAACTCAAAAACTCTGGCCAAAAAAATGTTTTGAGCCCTGAATAGATGTCTAGGAATTTGATCAAAAAAAGCAAAAGATAATTTCAAAAGAGGGAATCGAACCCCAGGCCTTCAGCTTACAACACGCGCCCACAACCACCCGGCCACCTCACCGCTGGGAACAACAGTGCGTAAGTGTGTACATGTCAACGGTGTTTCCGGAAGTTCCCGGGAGGCGAAATAACGGAGAAAAGTGAGGTTTACAATGGTTAAGAAATTGGAAACTTTCAGACAAAAATTTTCAGCATTTTTGGAAAAAGTGCATATACAGATTTTGACAGGGGCTTTTTGAGCGTGTCAACTAACCCCTGTCAAAAAATAAGAAAATTCTGAAAGCCTTTCTAAAACGACCTCCCTTGTGAGATTCGGAACAAGGGATTCAGAATACAATCTACAGTAACCACAAGTGTGAAAAATCACATGTTTCAGGCTATAAATCTCAGCTGACAGAAAGAAAGAGACACACTTTTTGAAGAGCCAAAGCACTTGATTAAAGTAGGCCAGGAAGCAGGCGACCACCCTTCCTTCCGTTCTTCTTTTTGTCTAGTATCTTTCCTTTCCTTCGTATCCAGTCCGTCTTGATGATCTTCCCGGCGTCTCTTCGATTTTATCACATCCCCATGTTATGTCTCGGCGATATGTCGCTCCATTGTCATCATTATATTGTTTTCTCTTTCTCTAAACTCTCTTCAAACTCCGCACACTGCGCCCGCTTTTCTGTATCAGCTGCGTCCGTTTTGCGCACTCCTAGCTAGGCGAGGAAGAGGCGCTCGCTTTACTTCTTCGTATTCTTCTTCCGATCCTTTCCACACCACCAGATAATCATTATTCTATACACAAAACTGGTGAACAACATCTCCAGCTTTGTTTTCTAAATAACATGAGCTCTTATTCTACTTTTCCGCAGTCTTCTTCTTCTTCTTCTGGTTAGTTTTAAATCTGAACATGAAGATAAAGCGAAATTTGCCTGTTTGAACGCTGTAAATGCTTCCAAATTATAAATATTGTTTCTTTATAGTGCCCGCCATCTCCGCCACGTCTTCAACATCACAAGCCGGATCATCGACATCTACTGCTCGTAAATCGTCGTTGGTTGGAGGTCGTGGTTCGGCATCTTCATCAGGACATACAAGTCCTTCTCCTTCTGGTGAGTCATTCATACAATCTTTTCCTGTCCCACTGTGAGAGTCAGCTCTATTTTCCCTCCCTCTGTTTTTCAATCTATTCAAAGTGTGTGTTCAGTGGCTGCCTTCCACACTACTTTAGATTTTTTCGTGTTGGTAACCTGGGTTTTGTTCTCAACTACTCAAAGACAGTCTTTGATGTTTTCAGAATCTCCTGCTCGAAACGCGGGTTGCTCTTCTTCGGGTGAATCAAATCCGGATAGATCTCTGGCTACACCGCCTCTTCCACCTGCACTTAAGCATTCTGGAAAGGTAGGCGAATTAATTATCAAAAAATTTAAATTAAAAAAGAATCTGCAGGACGGACACTATCGCGGTCAACGTTCAATGTCACTTGGAGGACCGGCTCATGAAATGCTAATGTCTCAATTAGGAGGCCGTCCGGGAAATACAGTCGATTGCTCACCAGGCGAAGGCGATAAAGTTTGTCTTCTGGTGGATCAAACGAGGTTCCTCGTCTCCCAACGTCTTCTCACTTCTAAACCTGATACCATGCTCGGCCGAATGTTTTCAATGCGAGCTTCATGTGGCGACTTGGGTGCAGATCTTGTAACTCCGAATGAAAGAGACGAATTCGAAGTTGCGGATGGAATGACTTCGTCCTGTTTCCGAGCGATTCTGGATTATTATCAGTCAGGCACAATGAGGTGTCCATCTTCTGTTTCGGTGTCAGAATTGCGTGAAGCATGTGATTACCTATTGGTTCCATTCAATGCACAGACTGTCAAATGTCAAAACTTGCACGCTCTACTTCATGAACTGTCGAATGAGGGGGCCCGAGAGCAGTTTTCCCAGTTTCTCGAGGAGATAATATTGCCGCAGTTGGTAGCTTCAACTGAACATGGAGAACGTGAATGTCATTTGGTGGTACTCCTGGATGATGATGTTGTCGATTGGGATGACGAATATCCACCACAAATGGGAGAAGAAACAACACATGTAGTCTACTCGACTCATCTTTACAAGTTTTTCAAGTATGCCGAAAATCGGGATTGTGCGAAACAAGTGCTGAAAGAGCGAGGTCTCAAAAAGATTCGTTTGGGAATGGAAGGATATCCAACGCACAAGGAAAAGATCAAGAAGCGATTCAACAAAGCGGAAGTAATTTACAATTATGTTCAGCGACCATTTGTGCATTGCTCGTGGGAGAAGGAAGAAGCCAGAAGTCGTCATGTTGACTTCGCTTGCCCAATAGTCAAAGTGAGATACCGTAATTAACACGTAGATAAGTTTTGACTATGTTTACAGTCGAAATCGAATCCTTCACTCGCGGCAGCAGCTTCTGATCCTCTTCCTCAACCGGCTCCCCTTCAACAACAACATAGAGTCGCCGTATTTGGAGAAGCTGCTCCTCTTGCTGCACAACATCGTTTTGATGACCCCCATCTTGCTCAACCAATTTTCAATCATGTGATGCAACAACAGCCGCAACCACCGCAAAACAACGCCATGTTGGGCGTCAATGTGCAGCAGCAACAGGTTAGTCTCTAGTTTTTATTCGTTCGTTTAGTAATGTTTATCTTTTTCAGCACAATCATACTCTCCATTCACCACCTATGA